ACTGGCCTCAATCTTGTCGTTGGTCATGGCGGATTGCCGAAGCATTGTTTCCATTAAGTCCTTTTTTATCCATGTTAATTCTTCGAGCAAATCTTGGAATTTTGCTTGGATATATTTCATCAGCTTGTCGTGTCCATTATCACTGGACACTTGAGTGACCTAGTGAGATCAAAAAGTCAATGCATGTTACTTAAACAATTAGAGAATATCATTATGTACGCCTAAGCTGCAGTTCTAATGGTCTGTTCCAATATAATTACAATTGTTTGAACGCTGAAGGCTATTTATTCTCTTTTTTTAGTTTCTAAATTTTGATATATTTTTTTACTTCAGTTAGTCAGTTTTGTAATCTTTTCCCCACACTTCCAGAAAATCTTCTACTTATGAATCTACCTTGTTGTTATAGGCATTCTATTCTCTACAGTGACTCGTGAACCATTGGAATTCACCTGATATTTATACCAAAATGATTAAACAAAAACTGTATGTGTTGAACTACATCCCATTCAACTACCACATTTACAAGGGGAAAAAAAGCACAAAAAAAAAAAAAACTGTTAGTGGAGGATCTTTTTCCTTACCTGACTTGGCTGTATCTCTTTGCGTAGTCTCAATACATCTTTTTCTGCTTCCAGTTGGGATCTCTTTATGTCTGCCTCCCACATTGTCTTGAATTCCTCCGCAGTGAGACCCAGCTTCAGCGCTCTCTCCATGTCACTGAGGAAACTCATTCTGTTCAAGAAACACAATATTTTAATATTAATTTCTCCTTTTCTAAATGAAACCAAAAGAAATTAATTACCATTAACTAATTAAATAATGGGTTAATTTTTTTCGATTGATTCATGTTTTGTTTTTGTTTTTTGTTAGGGACAATGAATAAATGTGAGAAGTTTCAACTTGATCCGAGAATGGGAAGTGGGAGAAATAACGTGTACAAAATTAAATTTTTACCCAGACAGACAGACGGATTGAGTTGACATAAGCTTTGTAAAAATCATAACACACAACCTTACAACTAGATTTGTAAATTAGATCGCACAACAATGTTCAAATTCTATTTGCAAGGAGTGCACTGCTGCTGACGTGTGCATTATTTCTAAGTCTGATATAAATACATTTATAGTTATTTCTCGTTCGAAAGTGAACCCATAAGTAAGGACACTTGTTCTATATCGAAAGATTAGTTTCTGGTTAGACTCTTTTCACCGCTTTCCGTTTCAGATTGATTTAAGCTCTATTTTTTACAAAGCTTATATCAACTCACTTTGTCTGTCTGTCATAGCGTAGTGAGAAAGTGATAGGATCATAGCGTAGTGAGAAAATGGTAGGATCATAGAATAGTGAGAAAGTGATAGGATCATAGCGCAGTGAGAAAGTGATAGAATCATAGCGCAGCGAGAAAAGCTAAAAACATGAAATAGTGTTAAACAAAAATGGTAGAAATATTTCTAATCGTACAGATTTATTATTGTCAATCTAGATCTTTTACAAATTTAATGACATGACTGACCCAAACTTATTGACACAACTACACTTCGTATAATCTTTGTGTTGTTTTTTTAAAGAATTTTTTATTTTTCTTGTTTTTGTTTTTTTAAATCGAGTTCAGTTTCACAAATTTAAGAAGGTTAAAAAAAACTATTGCATAGTAGGTCATACTCGTCCTAGACTAGGCCCTTCTCCACCTAGACTAGGCCCTACTCCACCTAGACTAGGGGAGAGGAACATGGGAGGAAGGCGATGACTTAAAACTCATTTACTTGGTGATCGAATACTATTAAGTAAAATTAATGAGCAATTTTATTTACTTTTACATTTAGTGCATTATCGTATTGATAATTCGCCAACGTTATAATGTGAGGCAGAAGAAAGAAAAATTAATGAAATTTTTAATGTACAGGTATTGTTATTTTTTCATCTGTTTCTTCGAAAATATGAAAGTATTAGTTATATCTAGACATTCGGTAGAAAATATTGACACATTCAATAATAAACAATGAGGCAATCAGAAGTAAAGCTTATTTTCCAGTAATCTCTGGGCTGACTTAAACATTCTTATTATTATTTATTATATATCTGTCGATATTATCTTTACTTTTAATGTAGGCCCTACTTACGCATAGATCAATATATTATTAGCTCTGGTCTGTGGGGAGGAGCTATTAAACATTTGAGGCCAAGGAAGGCATTGAAAATGTACTATATTTTTCTAAAATCAATCAATCAGCAAAAGGTTCGTTGCTGACATGCTTGGGGAGATGAGCAGTGATCCGGAACAGGCAGTCTGTTGTAGTCGATAGAACTTTTAAAAATAAGAACACAGGGTATTGAAATCTAAAGTTACAGAAGTCCATTTTCCATTAATGAAGGTTTAAAAAGTAGACATTGGTAAAGCTATTTCCTATTTCATAAATGGAATTGAGATGCAACAGAAGGATACAAGGTATCCCATTACAAATGGAGAGATTAGAAACATGATCACAACGCCACGGCAATTGGGCCTGATAACCACTGTTGAATAAACGCAACCTACGACTTACGGTTATATCACAAGGTTCTCAGGGCTCACAAAGATCATAGTTATTTTGAAAGAATTTAGGTCAACTGATCTAATAAAAAATATATTAACCTTTATTATTTCAAACATTTTAATGTATATTAATGATATGGATCGGCCTAAGTAACCGTATGTAATTTCGGTAAAGCAGAGATCGTATAACCAGACCTATATACAATTTTAGGCAATGGTCTGTATATGAGTATTCATTTTTGTAATTGTTTTTATGAGATTTAACTCTTTGATCATTGAAATCGATTCAAACTTAAATTAATATGTATTATATTTTACCTCGCAACTATTCAGCCAACTAAAAGAATGGAGATGAAGTATCTAGTCTGCGATAATAAACAAATACATTTAGATTTTCATTTACTGTGATTGTTACACAATAGAACGTTAAGCCCAACAACAATCGGGAATACCCGGTTAGTGGAAATCAATATGGATTAATTTTGCCTTTGTTTGTGACAAACACAGTTGGGAATATCCGAAAATGACGTTTTTAGACTTTTTTCAAAAACTGACTACGTGTTGTGTACTGTACTGTTCATTTCAGTTGAATCCCCCCCCCCCCCCCCCCCCACCTTTTTTAAAATCCTACACTGGCACAGCTTTTATGACAACGTTGTTCACTTATTTTCGGGTTCTAGTATCTCTGTAAGTCTGTTCTATAGACATTGACTGACTATTCTTGGGATTATTAATTTCGTATCTAGATATGATAAGATTATAGTAGATCTAGTCCTGTGGGACATGGCCCGATTCCCAGCAGCGGCAGAGGAGATGATAGAGTTATGGGAGCAGGAGTGTTTGGTTGACCTTAATTACTTCCACTGGAAAGCCATCGCTTTCAGCAGACCTTCTATTTCTATTGTTTTAAGGTCACCAGGGCTCTGTAGTCCATCCAAGCATTCCAACACTGGATGATCTGGTAGAGAGGCCAGGGCGACATCATCTCTTGTATTCTTCCACCTCCGATGATTAAAGCTTTTTTTTAAAAAAAAAACAAAGCTTATCGAAGGGGAACAACCGCAAATCACTAGCACACATCTAAGTACTGCATGAATAAGATCTCTTCTTTCTATAAAAAAAAAAAACAAGCTCAATTAATTACCTTTAATTGTTTAAAAAAATGGGTTAATTTTTTTTTATTGATTCGTGTCGTATCATCGAATATTAATAATTTCAGCTTGATCCGAGCATGAAAAGTGGGAGAAATACCGTATACAACATTCTTTTAGATCATAAAAACCATCATGTTCTCATTTAGAATATCGCTGACGTCTCCCACGACTAGGACTGAAGTCCTCCGTTATCTGCTGTGCTGACGTAGTCATATCCTTAACACAGTTCTCACCAACCGAGAAGTGAGACGAGCACGCCAGTAGACTAACAGTCGTATAGGCTAATGTTATACGATTGAGTTGTAGTTGATTTTTCTACCTAAGAAACTAACATCTTTGAATAGTATTATCTCAAAGTTAAGCTAAGCTTTTTACCATACCTCTATTCAACTCGAAACTTCGTGGAAACGTCTGGGTGGATAGGTAAAACCTGGACACGGATATCGAAAACGGCTCTAACCATTTTTCTAGAAATTTGACAGTTCGCGCATATCGTTGGGAAAAGAATTACTAGCCCGTTGGCTACACTGGGACAACTCTAATTGACCGTTGCAAATTTTTGTAAGTAAAAAAAAAAAAAAATTAAATTTGGCTTGAGAACAAGAAAATATTTATCTTTAGCGATTCCACGTTTTCGGATATTTCCGCTTTCCTTGAAGAGCTTTATGAATGAATAGTCAAGAACATTTTGAACATAGTCTTCCAAGTCTCGATCTAAAAGCCTATCAATGGAATATTATAAATTGTAGTAGATCTATACATTCGCTTAACCAGGATTCTTTCTCGGGTGGAAAAAGAAGATGATTACGTCCTACTCGTGTTACGAGGTCAATCTAGTCATGCATGTAAACCAATGACTTGAATTCTGCCAGGTCATTGGTTTTCCCGGCAGGCTCATGCAATCCATTCCATGCTCTAATAGCACTAGGGAAGAAGGAGCATTTGTACAAATTTGTCCTAGCATATGGAACGAGAAGTGTGCCTTTATGGTTGTGGGAAGGGGAGTGGTAAGTAGGTAAAAAATGTTCCATTGTTTTTTATAATCTAACATTCATTAGTTACAAAGAGAAAAACAATCGCTCTATAAGTTGTATAGTGGATGTAATGTAAAGTGTTGTTTATGGGTTTTTGTTTCAAAGGTTGCAGAAAATTGTGACAAATACACCTCTCGCCTCGTCAATACATTTTTCAAACATTTTCTTTGTAAAGCAAACTTTCTCATCAGTATATGACTTTCTTCTTCTTTAACTCTCTTGTAGACTGAAACTTAAGCTAGAAATCGTTAGCACAAACAAACAAGAAAAACATAGCAATTTTATTCTTTGGGAATCACCCCAGTTTATTGTTGTTATATTTTTTAACATTTTGTTTCAACAATTTATCAATTTAGGACCTCGCCCTTCCTTAGTTCTCATGTGTTAACACAACAACATTTATCATGGTCGATACTCTTAGAGTATGACATTACTTATTTAACCTTTACAGGAGTGGTCTTGGCAGAAGGTAAGAAGTCCTCTGTCCTCCGTTGTCACACTGATAATAGATATTTGGATGACATTTGATAAACGAAATTCTTATGTAGAGAATAATTTATTGGTTTAATTGCTGTAATGTAGCGCATCTTCCATGCTTACAGCATGCTTAGTGAGCTATGGTCTAATCTCTTTTGTGGGCCAGTTGAGGTGGGGGGGGGGGGGGAAGGGTGTATCTGGTAGAAGGTTTCCGTGCTGCCATTAGGCGCTCAGCAAGCACAACTCTGCTCGAGGCAGGGTTCAAACTCAAGCCCTCTTGTAAGATGACCGATCCGTAGCCAAGCGGTTTTAACTTCTCGGCCACATATTCCACCATTGCGGGGAAACAAAAGTCAGATAAGGTGCTAACTAAAATACAAAAATTAAAACAAACAAAAACAATCCTCAGGGTGTAACTTACATTGTAACATGTTATACTAAATGTACATTTATCAATTTAATCCTTCTATGATAGCTTCACTAATAAACGGGGAAAGGGGTTTCTACACCAAAAATCTCATTGATTGGCTTATTCTGTCACCTACGTTACATTGTACTGCTATGGCAATTGGTAACTGCAGACGACTTGACTGTTACACGAGGGGCATCCTCTTTTTATAGTCATTGCTGTTAAAAAAAAAAAGAATACGTTTTTACGACAGTCGAATTATGTTGCTATTTACAACTTCACTTTTTTTCGCATTACTAAACAAATCCATACAGATAATCTAACCATATGTCAACATTCGTTCACAAGGATGAAATTTGTTAAGACAAAATGAAATATGAAATATTTCAAAAGCGATGTGGTCAACATGTATTTGGTAAACAAAGTATTTATGACGTATAAGTAATGGTATAACCCACACCATAATCCACACGATAACCCACACCATAGTTCACACGATAACCCACACCATAGTTGACACCATAACCAACACCATAGTTCACACGATAACCCACACCATAGTTCACACCATAATTACCACCATAACCCACACCATAGTTCACACCATAATTCACACCATAATCCACACCATAATCCACACCATAATTCACATTAATATTTGTCTAACTAGAATGTGGTTATTATGGTGTACTATGGTATTGTGAAATCATATAGATTCGATATAAAGCGCAAGGCATAATAACATAACACACAATTGAAGGAATAGCAGATAATTCTATCTCGATAATAAAATAATATTTGAAGTCAATGTTTGTAAAACCATGTCACAGCACATAACTGATTTGTATACTAGTTGATACAAAGGACATTCAGTAACATAAAAATAATCTTGAAACTCTTGCAATCAGCTTCATTCTTCTGATGTTTACAACTCAATGAAATCTCAAAGATATTTACAAATAGAAAACACATTTTTTTAAAAGAAAGCTGTTGATGTCAAAAAAATTATAAATATTTAAAAATTATTTGTACTCGTTGCACAAAACCATCTCCAACCCTATAAATATACCTGGTATTAATCTTATATGCTTTTGATATATAGTTTTGAAATGTCATTAATATCTGACCCAACAATTTTTTTTGTGTTACAATTACATAGATTTCTTTTTTATATCACCGAGAAGTGAAAATGTTCAATCTGTACTGCTGACTACGTGGATAAAAATAGAATGGTGTCGGTGGATTGACTGAATGGCATAAATTGCTGGGGAAAAAAAAAAGAGATGTTTTTTTTTAAAATCAAGACTTAAGAGTGTAACTTTCTATCTTCTTGGACAGACACTACAGCAGCACTGCGTTTCGTATGAAACAGCACAATTAAACACTTAGACGCTGTAGTACTATTTCATATCAAAATTATTAGGTTATTTTAGACCATATTTTTTTTTTACTGAAAACTGTGTGGTAATCCATTTAATTGTTTTTTTTTCCGCCACTTAGGAGAAGGTAGATGTACACACAGAGCAGGCCTACAACCTGATCATGTTAAATCCGAATCCTCGATGTAGGCACACAGACTCCATTTAATCCTTAAATAATTGCCCTTGTCGTAATTCCGCTCTTTGATCTTGTCATATGTGACGTTCTGGTATTTGGCCCAGCTTGTTAGAAGGCAGACGTTGGCGTTGATTCTGACCTCTCTTCCATCCTCAGGTTCAGGACACTCGCTCAAATCAAACGTCCAGAGGTGAGAGTATTTCTTTGTCTCAGGGTTGTAAATTTCGCCCTCCCCTTGAAAGTAAACCGGCCATTTCCTGATGTGTGGCTGTGGCAGAACGCACAGCTGGACAATCAACCGGTTGACTTCGTTGAACTCAAGATTCAGCCGGACCTTGCAAGGCACCGGCTTGGTTGTGTAATAGCCAGTTCTGTGAAACTTGCGATCTAGGACAAATTCTTGCGCACAATCAACGGTAAAAGTCATTTCTTCGCCGTGTCCGTCAAAGTTTTCCGATCGAGACCTTGACCTAGTAGGATGATAGCCTACAATATCTACATATGTTTCATGATTCCTGCTAGGTGTGCGATCATGGAGGTTGAAACTGATGGAAGTTGGACCTTTTCTTCGCAATTGCATTTTCTTTTCATCATTCCTTCTTGTCATGGTGTTGTCCTTACTAGTCGGGTTCTCGCTGGCAATAGCTTCACATTTTTCTGTTTTGTCTGGTATGAACGAGTCTTGTTCGGAAATTTCTGCAAGCCTTGGCATGTCTTCTGTTGGACACAGATCTGAAGAAGGTGAAGAAACTGTGGCATCTTGTTGACCTGCTGTTGACATTAAAGCAGACTTAGTGTTGTCATTAAGACTCTTATCTGTTACTATAGAGGCACGCGGGATATCTGGTTTCGCCGCCTCTGTTTCTGTTGAAAAAGTGCAAACATATGGTAATGGTGATTCTTTTTGTGCCATGAACAGTTCTGACTCCTGAGGATTTTCTACCTCTCTAGTTTTAAGCGAGGTTAGGTGATACTCTTGCTGGACTATTGTGAATTCTTGTACTTGTGAATCGTTTATTTTTAACTTAGGATTTTCACTTCTCTCCAGTTCATCAGATTCTCCTGTGCACGGAATTGTTTGGACGTTTGTTTCTCTTGAATATAACGTAGCTAAGGTATCAGTCTCTTGAGGGACAGCCGGTAATTTCACTGGAGTGGCTGATGCAATAATAAATTCTTTAGTCTCCATGGTCGTTGATTCTTCGTGTGGTGCTGACTCTTCACGTGGTGATTCTTTGTGTGGCGTCGTGCGACCACATGGCGTAAATTGCTCAGATGAACTCTCTTTATCTTTAGCAGCAAGCTTCCCATCGCCAGTGTCCAGCTTTCTTTTTCTATTGCGGTTAAACTCCGTCTCTTGGAGTACGGTCATTTGGTTCCTGACTTTGACGATTTCGTCAGAGATGATCTTACTGTGAATCCTTATCTGGACAAGCATGTTCTTCAGTTCGTTGTTACTGCACAGCTCGTCGTTGCACTTCATTGTATATGTCGAGTTCATTATTTCCTTCATAGACTTGAAGCCCTCACCCATCTGATGTTTTAAGTCAGTCTTTAATACAAGCAATTCAGTTGTCAATTTCTCAACACTTTCTGGTACTCCAGACTCATCATGGACCTGAAAAGATTTTGACAACTGAACATTAATAACAAATATTTAGGATGAAAAAAAAAAAGAAAAAAAAGGTAAGGAAACGTGACAATCAGTCTATCACTGGCTGCACCAGTCATAATACATTGCTTTTGAGCCCCATATGTCCTTCTCTGTCTGACAGTCTTTCTCCATCCGTCTGTCCATTCTCTGTCTGTCTGTTTGTTTGTTCTCCCGTTCATCAATTCACTCATCCAACCATCCATTCTTCCAGCCGTCCGTCCGTCTGTCTGTCTATCTTGTCTATTGAAAAAAAAAAGAGTAAAAATAATAATATCACATATAAATGCCAAAAAAAAAAAGAATGGAAAGAAAATTTGGAGAACTTGAAGGTTGTTCTTATCAAGTTTTGAAGTTCGCCAACTAAATAAAGTTATAATGATGTCCTATGATGATAAAACGGAAAGTCTGGCAGGTTAATTTTAAATTGGCAAGAGAGAGAGAGAGAGAAATATATTAATTTTATTGCGTCACACACACACACTCCCACACACAAATGTACACCTTTTCTTTTTCTTTCCCTTTTGCAATAATTATTTCTTGAATTACAAACAATTGACTTGATACTCTTGTGTTAGATACGTTCTCTCATAGATAGTAATAAACAGCTGATTTGTCAGTGACAGCCAACACTTACTGTGTCTGGTACTTGATCGTTTAAGAAGTTAATGAACAGACAAATATTATGTCTGGAGCTTTAAAAAGATGACTTTTTAGAGTGAGCATTCAAAATTTTGCAAAGAACAATTATTGTCTAGATCGGTATAGATTGGTATAGTTCATACTAATATACTAATATACATAGTAGAAAGTTTCCTTTTAAATCTTGCCATCTACGGGGCAGACGATTTCAAGCTCATCTGTTTCTATGGCCGACGTGCCACTAGGGATTATGTGGCCAACACAATGGCAAAACTACTGTTAGGAACATGAAAATGAGAGAGTCAAAAACAATGTCTGTATAGTATGGCTTTAATACACTGAATGACAACACAACACACATCTTATCATTTCGTGAACACATTCTCCCGGACGAGTTCCAAGCACATGTAAACATAAGAACGATAACCGATACAGAATACAATTTTCATAACAACCACATTTAATGTCTCCTGGTACCAGGGGCGGACTGGGTATCAAAATCGGCCCGGGCATTACCATATAAACCGGCCCACAAATGGTATGTCATATATTTTCGGTGTGGGGGGGAATTTTTACCCCACTCCGCAATTTGTATATATATAAATATTAGTGTGTGTGTGTATATGTAATTAATCTTCATTACATTTTGATCTTTCATTCTTTCAAACATTTTTTCTACCCTTGAATACTCTCTTCCTATAATTAGTGGAAAGACAGTACACAGCGCCAAAGGGCAGCTAGGGAGTCCGGGGGAGCGCTGTGAGCTCCCTCCAGTGGGGTTCGGGGCTTTGCCCCGGAACCAAGCATTATTTCCGTTATTTTAAGCTTTACAAATGCATATGCTGAGGTATCTGCAGTGCAATTAGCCTGCTACTCTTCCGCTAAAAAAAATTAAAAAACCAAATCTGCTATTGAATGGAGTCCAGCGACTGGTAGAAAATGCTTGAGTTTTTGTATTGGAGGGGGAAGGGAAACCACAAAAACGATTTTGGCTACGCTCATGAAATTTGGTGACTGTAGTTTGCTTAAGTTGGCTGCACTGGGGCTGTAAGTAAAGTTTCCCTTTCAGACAATGAGATCTGAGGCAAGTGATGGTTTGAAGACCCTCACCTCCCGGCTACGCCCATGTGTTATATTATAGGTGTAAGCCTAATTCTCTACAAAATATATAAAGTTTGATAACGCATCGAAAACTGGATGTTTGCATTCGTAGGATTACATAAAGTATTCTATTTTTACATGTATGTAGTCTGAAAACTATAAACACTACAATAGCAGCCTAATGAGTTTGAAGCTTTTTGGTATTACTTATAGATTACAGACGTTCATTCAAAAAATAAGATTGTTACGTCTTACCCATTTCATGTATTAATCTAGTCATGCATGTTGATCTGTGACTTAAAATATACTAAATCATTGGTTTTCCTGGCTGACTCAGGCAACCCATTCCATTAAATGAAAAGAGAAAGCAGAACGGTTAGAGAGGCACTTACTTAATGTGAAAAGCTCTTGCTTCGTCCTAGTGCATTCTCAAAAACGCGATTTGTATATGAATATATCATGGCCCACTATTTAAAATATAAATCTCCTTTCATTAAATATCGGATGTGACAGCGCTATATAAATTATTGTAATTATTTTCATCGT